GTAACCGTCCGCGGGATAGCAAACAAGGTTAAGCGGCTCTGGCAGCACACCGATTACGGCATTTTGGGGACCGGGCAGAGACGCAGAGTTCTGTCTGCGTCTCCCTCTGGGCGCGCTCTTTCTCTCCCTGCCCCGACGCACCCGACCGCGACGCTTCCACGAATCGTGGAAAAACGAGCCTGCTGCCAGAGCCCCTTTAAGGTAGGCGCTCGCCGCGGAGCAAAAACCGAACCCTGACTGCTAGCCTGGGGGCAGCGCCTTGAACCACTAGGCCAAGGAAGGGACGGGAGGGGGAAGGGAGAGGCGATAAGAAGGGCTACTTTTGCCGTTTTTCAGGCTAAAACAAAGACTACGACAGCGCCGTGTTCGCACGCCGTATGCGCAGCTTCAACGAGCTGGACACGGCGCCGGAGTGGCTGAACAAGCTGAAGTGGCAATTCGACGATATTGGACCGTACGAGTAAGTGATCCAGCCTTATTTAAAGTGCGACCATCGGTTTGTCGGGTTCAATGATCAAACAAAAATGACAAACACGGCGGTGTGGCTATGTTTCCGAAATCCTCTATTTTTAGTACTGATACCGCCTACATCGTCGCGGTAAAGGGACGCACGAACCACACACCGGCTATTGGGCCAGCCTAGAACGCGAAGTGCCGCTGCAAGAAGACACCAAACTGTGCAAGAGCTTCGTCTGGCGCAACCCGACAAACCGATGGTCGCACGATTGGGATGAGACCGTCCAAAAGACGGTTGAGATGCTGAAGTAAGGTTCTAACAGTAAGCTGACGGCTTAACGGGTACAGGGTGTCCCAAAAAAAGTCGACCCATTTAGCGGTCGGAGAAAGATCTGGAGAATTTTTACACCATTGGAAAGCCCTGAAAACGGCGAGTTTGCATCAAATACCAAAAACCATGTTTTGTTTAAACCAGCTAATTTACAAGCAATTTTTTGTAAAATTTTGCCGTTTTTCAGGGTCGTTTGCTAATTTGCATCAAGTTGCTAACGAAAAATGCCCAGAGGTTGTCGTTAGTTAGATGCAGAGGCCGTCTTTCAAAACCGTCAAAACCGTCTAAAAACGCTATTATAGGCAGAAGCTGTCCAAACCTCCTCCAACCCAGGCACCACCTCAACCTATACCGAACGAAAACCCAGCAGAACGCAAGAAGCGTGCAACGGCTACTGAAACCGACAAGGCGAACGCCACAGCTCCAGCTGATGCCGCGCGACAACTGAAAGAGGAACCGCCCACGGCGCCTCCTACTCCGGTCCCAGAAGAACCTCTGAATTATGATATTCTCCTGAAAGAATTGATCGTGACGTTCCCGAACATTGTCCTCACCTGGGCGCCAAAGGGGACACCGCAACCGCTTGCGGTGATGGAAGCGGGTGGGTCGAAGTAACAGTAACGTAGTTTCACATAACTGGATTGATACTTTCGATGCCTAACCGATATAGGATGTCCAAAAACTCCAAAATCGCGGTCCACGGACGCGCCCGAGTTTCACGATATAGGTATCTATCGTAAGCTCTCGGACAGGCGGATCCAGGCGTTTTCTCCAAATTCTAAAATGCTTAATTTGTCTTCCCTTACTCTGTTTTTGCGAACCGCTCGAGAGAGGATCGAGACCTAAAGCGTAAAAATCCGACTGGCTGATTAAGAGTCCTTTCGAAATTTGCAAAATGGTGGTTGCGCCCTCCGTATTTCTAATTCCATTTACTTTCAGGGCAAGAAACGCTCGGCAGCTACGACATCTCGGCCCACCAATACCTTTTCGAGCCAGAGAACTCGAACCTAATCTACAGTCTGCTTCTGTTACATCCGGATGCGGAATAAATATTGTTTTGGGGATGACGTGGCTAGAATTAATAGTAGGATCTACAGGGTATTCCAATGAAAAACCCCTTCAACTCCGCGGAGGAGGGTCGGAAGGGAATGGTAGTTACACCATTTGGAAGCCCTTAAAACGGCGAGTTTGTAACGAGCTTCAAAACCACGTTTTTATCTAAGCCAGCATTTTACATAGGAATTAAGAACCTTAAGCAGCTGCTTCTGCATCTATGTAATTAACGGCAGCTTCCGGTTATTTTGCTTGCAGAAATTGAGGCAAATTAACATACGCAACCCCAGAAAACCAAAAGTTTTTCGAAACCGCTTGTAAAATAGCGGATGGTTTAAAAAACACGATATTGAAGTTTATTGCAAACTCGTCGTTCCAAGGGCCTTCAAACGGTGTAACTAACATATGTTCCGATGTATTTTATTGTGAGACCTTGTAAAGTAATGATAGTGGAGGGACGTTGAAGAGAAGCAGAGCTTCAACGTCATTCTCTTTTGCGTGTTACACTAACCGTTATAGTTATAGTAGTTTATTCAAGAATTTATAGTTTGTATTTGTAGTCCTCGTTCAGGATGTAGCTGTTCCCATCGCAAAGTTGCCAATCACAGCATGACGTGCACGGGCTATTAAGGCCTCTTTCCACCTGGAAATCGGAATTGCGGGGGGTCGCGAGGCGTAAAGTGCCTTGTCACCGGTCCACTTGTCATAGTGTAAATGGCAGGCGTCGGTGATGTTTTGCCCGATGAAGAATTCACCTTCGTAGCCTGAAAAGCGTTAGCCGGAGTGATGCTTCCGTCAAGGGTGCGATCAGAAATTTCTGGTGGACAAAATTTTTAGGACTTTTAGGTCCAGGGGTTTGCAGGGGTTTTGGGTTTTTCTCTGGGCGAGCTACACTCTAGCCGGGGTTCGAGTCTAGTTTACCCCCCCAGCCAGCATTTCCTCCCAAGTCATCCGATTATAGTATCTCAAAATGCTCCCCTCTTCAAATACTCCGTTTCCATATACTTTTTTGACGAAACTAAAGAAAGAAAAATAAATAATGCTTAGAGGCCTCTGGGACGCTGGGGTACTCAGCCGTAGGCGTTGCGGCTGGCTGCAGAGCGCGGACACCGTGGCGGCGTACATAGGAGCGCCGCGTGGGGGACTGGGGCGCTCGGGCAGGTCAGTCCTCTCCGCCGCCCCCTCCCAGTTGGTGAGCGTGGTATAGTGGATAGCGCGCTGGGCTGTCATTCTCACGGTGCGGGTTCGACCCCGCCCGGCGCAATTGTCATTTGCTTTTTCGCCAAAACCATCGTTTTTGAGACCTTTAAACCAGGATTGGTTTGTATTGGGCGACAGGATTGTCTCCGTCGTAAGCGTCGCAGGGGCCACCCCGTTGCCGTGTCCCCTCAGTACTACTCTATTTGCGCGGCAACAATAAATTGCTTCTAAAATTGTTATTTGTTATTTTTCTCCTAAAAAATTATATGGAAATGGAACCTTTTGAGATACTTCACACATCAATGGCACCACTTGGGGGCGAATAAAACTAGACTTTAGCCCAAGCCGTTATTGGGATGGCCTCGGTACTTTATACTTACGCCTGACATCCCCGTCGTACTGGTCGTCAATCCTGATGCAACGAATGCGGAAGGCCTGAAATTGAGAAGTTTCTGGTTCGTTAACAGGGGGTTACGTTTTTAGTAGCTAGCTTCTGTCATCTTTTGATTACAATCATTTCCATGTCATTGCAAAACCTTATAAGGCGGCATTTTTTACTGATAATTGGGTAGCCAGATGCGGCATGTTCTCTAGTTTGAACGGCGTTTTGAACGGAAAACGCGTTAATTTCAAAATTATGACGTTACCAGCACCACCTTGGGCGCTGGAATGCGGCCTTTGCATGAGAAATTTGACTTCCCGATAGCTCGTACTGTACGTGTATTTCACGCGTTGCGTGCGGGTGCGCGGAATAGCAACCGGTTTTTAGCTGCGCAGGCCTGCTTTCGCAATTGCGCGACGCGTCTATCGCACGCGTTGCGGTCTTCCCTCATTTCCAAAGCTACCGGACGTTTTATTAGGAGCCGGGCCGCCGTGCCGAGGACATTTCGGTTTTTTTCGCAATGAAATCAATTTTCTGGCACCTATCGGCGGCATTCCTTTCGTTTTTTGACCAGTAGGTTCAAGTCCCGAACACGCGAATTTTGACTTCCGAGCCCCCTTTAATTACGAAAAAGGCCCAGGCTGGCTCCAGCCTCCAGACGATTGCCAAAAAATTTGGTTAGGACGCCCTGAAAACCATACGTCAGGCAGCTGCGGCGTCTGGGTGTAGATTTTGAGGTAAAGCTGGGACGCTGCCCAGATACCCTCCTGGCCTGTGCTGTTGATCATGCAGGGAGAGCCTAGGAGTTTCATTTATTGACCCCATTAGATAGAGCTTAACCCAACAAACAAAACGCAAAAATTTTTTTTGAAACCAGGAATTGCACCTGGGTGGAAAAACTCCAACAAATGACTGGATTTTGATTTTTCTCGTGTTTTCTCGCGAATCCTCGAAATTCTCGAAAATCCACCTCGCAAGTTCCAAACACCAGCGCAACGTAAAAAAATGTTTAAAAGGTACCGTGCGGTGCCCGTTAACTTACTATCGCCGTACATGCTGCCATCACAGACAGCATACTGATCATTCTTGCCGATGTCGATTTCCATCAAAGCCACGCGATACTTGTCATCGCCCTGAAAGCGTGCGCATCGATCTCAAATCAATCACCTATATTGATTAAAAATTCAAAGTCCACCCTTTTATTTCTTTTTTTTAAAAGGATTTTTTTTAATACTTTAAGCTGTCGCCGAGTTGCCAGGAAAAGCGTAATAATCCTTAGATTGTGATTTTAGTAAAAAACCCTGTGGTCAGAAAAACATGACAAAATCATCCCCTTTCGCAAAAATATTAGAAATTTTAGAAAAATGTCAAAAGTTTAAGAATCGGAGAGATGTGCTGGACTCGCCTTGCCGAGCTTTCCGAGAGCTTTCGATAGATACGTAAATCGCAAAAAATGGAGCTATGTCTAAACTCTAGATGACCCCTCGGCCGTACGCAATCAAGCTTTCTCGTCTGCCTTTAGCTTTCAGGTCTGTACAGTATACCAACATATTCGGTAGGTCAAGCCGAGCATTTTGGTATGTATACACTTTACGACCCGTTAGCACTATAGGGAGATCAGATAGCAACGTTTGAATCCAGAGTGTGATGTTACCAAACCCAGCCGCTTACCGCAACGACTTGATGGCCTGGCGAGTAGCTGCCTTTCCGGATGAGAATATCGGTCTTAATCCCGGCAAAGACCAACGCCACCAGGGCCGACGAGGCAAAGACGATCAACAGCTGGGAACCCATTTTTCGGATCGGCTGCTGTTTCGCCGACTCAGCCGGGGTTTTATACCCCTCGCGGTGGGTTTTGTGAACCCATAAAGCTTGGGAAGCGGATTCACTTTTTTTCATCCTTTTGTTTCATGGCCATTTTTGGGTGCAACAAATCATGGAACGGATTGGGAATTTTTTTCTCTAAATTTCGCTGCGAATGCGGCGGCAAATATTTATTTTTTGGATTTTGTTTTATCTTTTTCTTGGAATTTTTCATTCAGAATTCCGTCAGCGACCTTTTTTTATCGTTTTCGAATTGTAGGTTTAATTCCATGAACGCTGATCCGCGGTTTATTTAAAGAACGGTACGCTTATACTGACGCCTTTCCTTCCGAAAGGCCTCGGAAACATTTAAAGAACAAATTCAGCAAAATTTCATACCGATAAAGCTTGAGAGATTTTTTGAGTCTATTTTTTAGATGGGGGATTAAAAGGATTTACACTCGAGAAAATTCGAAATAGATCAAAAATTCGTCTGGCCTTTGAATTTCGAATTGTGCGCCGAATCGCCTATTTGACCTCTTAGTTCAGTAGCGGCCTCCATATTACACGATCTCTCTCTCTCTCTCTCTCTCTCTCTCTCTTTCTTTCTCTTTGTCTCTCCGTCTCTCTCACTCGCTCTCTTTTGAAGAACTCGTTCAAAATGAAGATGTGGTTCCTTCTACTTGGGTTGCTGCTTGGGACCGCTACGGCCGAGACGTTCGCCCATATCAGGGCCACGGCCCAGTACGGTGAAGGGTATAGTGGCACTGGTGAGGCATGCTAAATAGCACCGAAAAACCCATTCGTCACTGAATATACTTCCAGAACGACGAGTGGGGACTCTGGCTGAAAGAAAAGAATGTGCTTCAGGATGACATTTTTGGGGCGTGCGGGCAGAAGATTTGGCATCCCGAACGTGTCAGGGAAGTCTGGCGATCGTTCACTCACTCACTCCCTGTCTCTCTCTCTCTCTTTATCTCTCTCTCTCTCTCTCTCTTTCTCGCTTTTTTATTATCTTTCATTTTAGTGAAGCTCAAGCACCGATTTGCGAGATCAAGTCGAATAGTGAGGAGCCTTGGCCCTGGCATCACGATACGTATCTGAGAATCCGTCGTACTACCAGGGATGTCCATGTAAGTTCGGGCTAAAATGGATGTTGTACGAAGCCATACTCGGTATTAAAAACAACAATTCTAGCATGACCTATGCCTTGACCTGCCGCAAGAACGAGGAGAATCTACGAGTAGGTTTTACACGTTATTTTTTCTATCCATTTTCAGTTATCATTACGCAATACACGCGCGTTTTCAGGCTGGTACATGACGCTTACGTTCACACTTGAGGGTTGTACCATCGGCTGGACGAGGCAGGTCAATGGCGGCCAAACCACGAAGCAGTTGAAAGACTGCGGCAGATGCGACCGCAAATGAGATAAATATTTTAATCAAAAGGCGAGGAGAGACATTCCTGCTCTGAATTCCGACCACTTCACCAAGATGGTTCATCCTACTACCAGATGGTTCCAGTCGCTTCGCGACTGTAACCATCTGGCCTTCGGGCTTCCCTTCATGCCATACACCATCACATCCATCCCTACCTTTCCAAAAATACCCCCGCTAATGGCTACAGATACCTCCCTTAGACGAAATCACCTTGAAAAACTACGTAAATACCTTCCCGATGGCTTCAGATACACCCCATGGCTGAAATCCCCTTCAAAAACTACGTAAATACCTTCCTGATGGCTTCGGATACCCCCCATGGCTGAAATCCCCTTCAAAAACTACCTAAATACCTTCCTGATGGCTTCGGATACCCCCCATGGCTGAAATCCCCTTCAAAAACTACCTAAATACCTTCCCGATGGCTTCAGATACCCCCCATGGCTGAAATCCCCTTCAAAAACTACCTAAATACCTTCCTGATGGCTTCAGATACCCCCCATGGCTGAAATCCCCTTCAAAAACTACCTAAATACCTTCCTAATGGCTTCAGATACCCCCCATGGCTGAAATCCCCTTCAAAAACTACGTAAATACCTTCCCGATGGCTTCAGATACCCCCCATGGCTGAAATCCCTTCAAAAACTACCTAAATACCTTCCTGATGGCTTCAGATACCCCCATGGCTGAAATCCCCTTCAAAACTACCTAAATACCTTCCCGATGGCTTCAGATACCCCCATGGCTGAAATCCCTTCAAAAACTACCTAAATACCTTCCTGATGGCTTCAGATACCCCCATGGCTGAAATCCCTTCAAAAACTACCTAAATACCTTCCCGATGGCTTCAGATACCCCCCATGGCTGAAATCCCCTTCAAAAACTACCTAAATACCTTCCTGATGGCTTCAGATACCCCCATGGCTGAAATCCCTTCAAAAACTACCTAAATACCTTCCTGATGGCTAGATACCCCCATGGCTGAAATCCCCTTCAAAAACTACCTAAATACCTTCCTGATGGCTTCAGATACCCCCATGGCTGAAATCCCCTTCAAAAACTACCTAAATACCTTCCTGATGGCTTCAGATACCCCCCATGGCTGAAATCCCCTTCAAAAACTACCTAAATACCTTCCCGATGGCTTCAGATACCCCCATGGCTGGAAATCCTTCAAAACTACCTAAATACCTTCCCGATGGCTTCAGATGATTTAAATAATTAATTAGCATAATTAAAAAGTATTAAAAAGTATTAAAAAGTATTAAAAGTATTAAAGTAACTTAAAAAGCTATTTGGGCGCGGGAAGGGGCCTGGGGAAGATGGGCGAAGAGAAAGGGGGCGTGGCCTCCCGGGAAAGGGGCCCCCACTCCTTTTACTAAGGAAAAACTTTCAAAGTTAATTTTAATAATTTAAACTAAAACTTTTCAATAATTTTTTTATCAGTTTGGGGGTTTCTGACCACGCTCTATCCGAATCCGAAGAGAGCTAAGCTCTAGCTCCTTTCCCCTTCGAGTTGAATTCGGCTTCACACAGACGGACAGACGGACGCGTCAAGAAAATTATTATAGTTGATATATAAAAAAATAGTGTCTGTGTGTGTGTCCGTGCCACTTTGCATGCAACTTCCGTCAGCGTGTTCCAGTAGAATCTCAAGAAGGAGAGTAGTTAGCGGCATCTTTGATACGTCATTAGGAGCGTAATGGTCTGGAGATGACTGCATGCTCTTCGGATTTATCAAAATCGCCTATTTTCGACATTAAATTTTAGTTTTCGTTGAAAATTCCCAGACCCTCTTTGTTAGGAATCAATTAGCATACACCGGAAGTGGGGATAGCCTATATAAAGGAGCAGAGAGCGTTTTCACTTTTTCCGCGTGTGTCGTGCAGGATTATGCAAAGCGTAAACTTTCATTGGTCCAAAACGGAGCCAGGGTTGAAAAGTCGTGAAGCGGCTTTTCAACCCTGGTTATTCACTAAAAACCATTTCTCCGAATTACTCTCCGAATATTTCATCGAAAATGATCCAGCCGAAAATCCAATCTAGTCTGCAACGTTTTGTCCGTTGTTCTGCTGTTTGGCTGTTTTCCAACACAACGGCAACACACTTTTTGCCGGGACCCAAGCTATGCTATTTGGAATGGTTGACACCATCAAAAAAGATGGTAACTTCTTGAAACTGCAATTCAGCACATGTGGAAAACAGAATCAAAATCAGCGCAAAATTCTGCACAAGTTAGCTTTGGTCTTGCTCAAAACTGGGACGATCTATGATCCGAAATAGCTCTTTTTAACCATTTTCCACCCGCGTCAAAAACCATCCTTGATCAGGAATCCGTTGGATTGGAAAAAAAACAATAGAATGAAATCTTTATTGAAACAAATTTATAATGGAAGGGCTTTAGTGGCGTATGGCATCAGCGAACCGACATATCCACCGTCGCAGTCATTCTCCCATTTGTCATCGCAGCACGAGATGCACTGGCGCACTTGACCCTTGGCCCAGTTCGACCCGTCAAATTTGTCGTGGTGGAAGGCGCATTTATGGTCGCCGACCTTCAGCGATCCGACGTAGTCTCAAAAAATCGATAAACATTCTCTGGCTGAAAACGCTTAGGTTCTCGTTTGTAAGCGAGAGGGAGGATTTTTGACTAAGGAAACCAAATTTTTTATTGTTTACTTTTTTTCCTATAACAAAATATACAGTATTTTAATTTTCATAGAGCACTCACTTTTAAATTTAAAAACAACTATCAAAAAACCGAAAATTTATGAATTTTGTTTGACGTTCTGGTCAAAAATGGATGAAAAGTGATCAAAAAAGTTAAAATATTCGTTTTTCAAAATTTTAGAAAATGTTTTATAACTTTCTAGCAAAACTATGAAAAACACTATAAAAAATACATAATATCTCATCAACAAGTACAGTTGGAAAAATAGAAAGTGGTTTTCTCCCTGCTATAGATCCCCCCGTAATAGTCCAGACCAAACTTTGTTAGCGAAACATACGCCGGACACTGTTCTCTGACTGCTTGTCCAAGCCGATGCATCGCACGGCTTCCTTCTGTAAGACAAGTATTTTCGCATTTCACGAGAAGGTCCAGGTTTTATATTAACATCGAATGCGTTTTT